AAAATTAAAAAAAAAATAAAAATTATTTACAAAGTAAAAAAAAAATACATGGTCAATCTTCAATGTCTTGCCAATATCATAGTATTTTTTTTAAAATTTTTTTGACGGTAAAAAGAGCCGTAGAAAATCGAGAGGGAAAGAGTAGAGAGAGAGTAGTGAAGGACAAAAACGTCCAAATGGACGGTGGCTAGTAATAAGGGGGCGGTAAATAGTAATGCCCAAAAGAAATTACCGACTTTTTTTTTTATATATATAAACTGTGAGCAATCATGTAAAGTGGTGAGCAGTATGTATGATGCACGAGATTTTTTTTTTTTTCGAAACAACATAGTTCATTCACTGAACACATAACTACAACCGATACACTAGTCGGAATAGGAGGACTACCCAAGACAGCCTAGATGTCACAACACACATTACAATACGAACAAGAAAAATAAAAGTTGCCCACAGGAGAATACACACTCCCCATAGGAGAATACACAAACTCCCCATATGAGAGAAACAAGCTCATCGAAAAAAGGATAAAACAAAACACAAGCCACGAAACAACACACCAACAAACACTACACAAACACAAAAACAAACGACACAAAACTACTAAACTTAAGCCTCCTCTATAGATGACAAACAACACCGCAATCCGCTACCCAGAGTCGTCACCCCACAGACTAAAACCCAGTTCGAAGCACCGAGACTAAAATTGCAGCAAAGGCCTAGCAATACCAAACACCCGAAACCCGCAGTCCCAAGAGACTGACCACCCACAGTCATGCACACCAAAGTCAGCCCCAACTCTCCACCCATTCCTGTGTGGAAGTGAGAGTGTGTGCATGATAATTAAATGAATGAATATGGATGTAATGCTCTTAATGATAAGCTTTGACTCGAACCGGAATTTACGACCCAGTTTATTTTTTAACCAAAAATCCAGCGGTCGGTTCGGTTCGGCTTTCGGTTAATTGCAATAAATAAATAATCTTCTTAGTAAATTATGAATTTTTAACCCAACAAAATAATTTTATGTTTTATCCGAACAAAAAAAAATAAAAAATAAAATAAAAGTTATCACCTTGTTTAATCTTCTCAGTAAATTCTAAATTCTCCTCAAATGAAGATCTCGTACCCAAACAGTGACTTAGACTATGACGAAGCCAATCTTGAGTGTAAATTCGAGCCATTTTAGGGGTCATTGAAGCTTAAAAATCATCAATTATTGAAGCAAATTAATGTTTTTATAACCTTAGGAGGATGTCAGAAGTCGTCTTTAAGTGTAGGAGCAACGAAGGCCCAATCAGAGGCAAGGCGACTAAACTCTCTGAAGTCATCGGTTTCGACTGCAGGAGCATAAGAAAAGGGATTAACAGCCAATTTCGCTACAAGAGCAAGCTAAAGTTACAGGCTCGACTAAAGGGAGCTACTATTAATAAAAATACATGACTCGTTCTGTAAAAAGGGATATCTAGCAGCCTAATAGGGATGCCTCGAGGGATTAGATTAAGTCGAGGAGATCCCAGGGAACGAGAGATCCCAGGGTCCTCAAACAGAGTGTCGGATAACAGGGCTTCATTATACGCATCCATGTCGATTCCAAAGGACGAGACGGCGGAATGGGCAGAGTTCTCGGGCTCGACATTTAGGCCGACACTCGGTCCGACAGAGATTATTCGTACAGAACCAAAACTCGAGTAGTTGTCTATTTCGTGGGCGAAAGATCCGGAAGCAGGGTCGGAGTCGGAATCTAAAAAGAAAAGTGGCAATCAATAGAGGGGGACAATTACGACCGCGAGTCGACTTTAAATGATAGGGGTCAACGAAAGAACCAGAGAAGTGCGCGAAGCAACCCGACAACAGGAAAATAAAGGAGAAGAAACGAGGAAAACATTTCCTGCTTCGATTCGATTTGACATATGAATGTCAAATCGATGACTAGTTAATCTGTAAAAGGAGCAGAAGAGTCAATTTCTCACAGTGAAACGACTGACGGATAAAAACACACGGGGAAGTGAAAGAACCCACAATTACAGATCTAACAAGGAAGAACCGCCAGGAACTCATCTAAAAATCTCCAGAAAATCCGATGAACATACAAATCTCAAAGCATATTAACCAGAAGAAAAAAAAAACATAAAAAAATCACACACAACAACAAATCGAAAAGCAAAGAGAACTTACATATGATGGTTGGCGAAGAAGTCCTGGAAGAATCCGTAAAGAACGCCGGAAAATGAAGGAGCGCCGGAGAGCTTGAGATGCTGTATTTGCCGGAGAAGCAGAAAGTTCGGAAAGTCTGAGTGCAAAAAGTGAAGACGAGAAAAGGGGAGGAGTACTTATAGGGAAAGCAGAGAAACCCTAGCCCTCAGATTAAAGTCAGATCCAACAGTTGAGATGGTGCACGGAATACGAAGCGGTGGAGAGAGAAAGTGTCTTATCAATATTCAGAGACCTTTTTGAATTTTGAAATTTGAAAAGAAGATTCAGACTTATCCAATCAATTCGAAATTTGTTGGGTAGACAAGTCGTTTTACGAGTCAAAATAGCAAGCGGACACGACTTAGTGCAATGACAAGCGACACGATATGTGAAAAGATCCGAGCAAGACACTCAGTCGTCAAAACTTACTCTTAAGCTTAGAATCGCTTCGAGTATTTTTTGAGAGGGACTAGATGATATAGCCATACTATCGTATAACGGTTTATACTATCACGGTTCAGAGATTACTGAGTCGACTTAGCTAAAGTCGACTCTCTCCGCAGACTCCCTATGATATCTCCGGTCAGGGGTCCAGGCACCTCTCAGTCGACTTCCACGTGTCGACTAGAATGAGTCGATTCCCTCGGGAAGGACGGACAAGCGCATCAGGATCTACTGACGATTGAAGATGACCCAGTCGACTCGAGTTGGTATCCAAGTCGACTGGGGAAGTCCCGAGGCTCATAGATCCCCGACGATTTCGAAACACTTCAACATATCGTAGGAAAGCTGTCAAGGATAAGAAGGAGGCTATTAAGGATAAGAAGGAATCTAGATGCTGACTAGGAGATGGACGGAATGCGAACCGACCAGGGCATTTTAGACATTTCCAGTAAGTCGGCCGGGGCATTTTGGGGACTTCAGGTAAATGTCTGGCTTCTATATAAAGGAGCTGAGGTAACCCCAAAACCCTAACTCCCATTCATTCCATACTTTCCTCCATTGCTGCTGCTGCCCTCTCTGGGAGCAGCTCTCTTCACCTCTTTCACATACTGACTTGAGCGTCGGAGGCTCTACGCCGGAAACCCATCCGGCGTTCTTGTAGGTGTTCTCGCGGTTCAACAACGGTTCAACATCGATCGAGGCAGATGAGCTCATTTCCATCGGTTTATTTCAGATCTGAGCTTGTTTCCATTGATTCACTCCAGATCTGAGAGGTGACTCATCACATAATAACATCGATTTAGTTAAAAAGAATCCCATAAAATCGGTGAAGTAAAAAATTCTACTTAAAGTCTATGTATACTAAAAAAATGCACATTCAAAATTCCTTATCCAATTCCTTCTTATCTATACTTGCATAAAAAGTCATCCTGTTTATTAAAATTAGTAGCAAAAAAATAGGTCAGCATTAAATGCAGCTCATAAATAACAGTTTTATTATTTTTCTTATATTTTTCTTTAAATATCATACAATTTAATTTATAAATAAGCTCTAATATAAACATACAATTTAATTAAAATAATAATTAAATATTGAATGGTGAACAAGGATAAGTAAAACTGTTACTTTCTCTTATATCAAGAGATGAATTTATATGCTAAAATTAAGTTTTTATTAGTATAAATGTTTTAGTAAAATAATATATTAATTAATTTACAAGCTAGCCCTAACATGCTCATATTTAATGTTCTGGCTAAAAAGACAATGCTGCTTAAAAGATTTGGAAAAAAGCTTGTAACCCAATTATTTTTTAGACTTAACGTTGATTAAAAGAGGTAGAAAATAGATAAACCCTATTACTTTTTATACTTAAACGGACAAGACTGTGAGAATAACTCATTTAATATCTCTGTCAGATGTGGAAAAAAGTTTATAACCCTATTGTTTTTTAGACTTAACGTTGATATAATATGTAGAAAATAGATAATAACCCTATTACTTTTTAGACTTAAACGGACAAGGCTTTGAAAAAAAAAATGTTTATAACCCTGTTGTATTTTAGACTTAACGTTGATAAAATATGTAGAAAATAGATAATAACCCTATTACTTTTTAGACTTAAACGGACAAGGCTGTGAAAAAAAATGTTTAATACCCTGTTGTTTTTTAGACTTAACGTTGATAAAATATTTAGAAAAAAGATAATAACCCTATTACTTTTTAGACTTAGACGGACAAGACTGGGAAAATAACTCATTTAATATCTATGTGCTGTGCATCGCACGGGGTACGTACTAGTTTTATATATATGCGATACGCATGTCAAATTGAAGATCATAAGAGTAATGAAACTCAGCATTTAAAATAAACCACTTTCAAGTATACATATTCTTTTTTTGTAATTTTTCTAAATATGTACGATACTTTCACGTATGTCCTCTTTATTAGTTTAATTCTCATGCCAAGCAATTAAAAAGCAGAATATTTAATTCACTAATTAAGAAATTATAGCCAATTCGTGTGGACAGTTTTGGTGTTTAGCTGATGGAGAAGTCGTGGAATCAGGCGCGTAGCCAGAATTTTTTTTTTACCTGGGGCTGTAAAATTACTGATGTTTTTTAAATCGAGTTGTCCACATAGTTTTGTTTGACCTGTAAAACCTTAAGCTCGACTAGCTTATATATTTGCACGAGCTCAGATCAAACAACTAATTGAGTTTTTCTATCAAACAAGTCGAGTCGAGAGTGTCAGCAATCAACTCGTACGAGTTTTGGGTTTCGTATACGTTGCAAGGTTTATTAAATGACTCAATGACATGCGCTATTTTTACATGCATTTTACAACAATTTTTATTTCCGTTTCGTCTTGATATATATTTTTTGCTTGTTGTAGTTAATTTTATTAAGCGATGATGAGGTGTTTTAATAGAAAATGGGATCGAAATAATTAATGGAGGCGAAACCAGAGAGAGCCGGTCAAAGAATGTGTAATTCAATGTGTTGGAAAAAGCCCAAAAGATAATTACATGGCAGCCCATTTCATTTTATTTAGTGGGTCAAATATTAACTCATTGTACTAGCCCAAAAAAGAACAAATTTAAAAAGAATCAAGGGATGGCCCAAAATATCTATTTAAGTGATGGTAAAAAAGTTATTTCAAACTTGAACATGAGTTGTCTTCTCCAAGCTCACGCATGAATAGAAACTTCCGCCATTGATGAGCAGAGCTGCTCTAAATCTTGTTCCTTTTTGTCTATGAACTTCATTTGAGCTCACACAACCTGAAATTAGACGGGGCTAGGTAAAAATTATTAGATAAGGATAGATATATAATTTTTTTAAAGGTAAAGCTAGATTTTTTTTTTGTTTTTGTTTTTGTTTTTGTTTTTCTTGACATGGGGCTGGAGCCCACCCTAACCCATAGATGGCTCCGCCCCTGCGTGGAATCATTATGCCTTTTGAAAATCCACCGAAAATAAACTACCAACTTTTTTTATTTTTATTTTTTTATGCAAACTGTGACCAATTACTTAAAGTGGTGAGCAGTATGTACGATGGACTGCCCAAGGCAGCCTAGATCCACAACACATATTACAATACGAATAAGAAAAATAAAAGTTCTCCACAGGAGAATACACAAACTCCCCAAATGAGAGAAACAAGCTCCTCGAAAAAAGTAAACAAAACACAAGCCACAAAAACACACCAACAAACACTACGCAAACACAAAAACAAACGACACAAAACTATTAAACTTAAGCCTCCTCTACAGCTGACAAACAACACCGCAATCAGCTATGCCACCAACCACCCAGAGCCGTCACCCCACAGATTAAAACTCGATTCAAAGCACTGAGACTAAAATTGCAGGAAAGGCCTAACAATACCCAACACCCTAGACCCGCAGTCCCAAGAGGCTGACTATCCACAGTCAAGCACACCAAAGTCAGTTCCAACTTTCCAGCCATTCTTGTGTGGAAGTGAAAGTGTGTGAATGATGATTAAGTGAGAGCGTGTGAATGATGATTAAATGAATGAATATGGGTGTAATGCCCTTAATCATAAGCTTTGATTACACTAAAAAAAATTTATCCTCACCACTTAATAGGACTGCTCATTCAGTCAAAACCGAACCGAATCGACCGAAATTTCGGTTTGTCCATTATCATAACCGAAAATCGAACCAGAATTTACGGTTCGGTTTGGTTTTTAACCGAAAATCCAACGGTCGGTTCAGTTCGATTTTCGGTTAATTGTAATAAATAATTAATCTTCTTAATAAATTATAAATTTTTAACCCAACAAAAAATTTGATGTCTCCTCCGTACAAAAAAAATAAAAAAAAAAATAAAAAATATCACCTTGTTTAATCTTCTCAGTAAATTCTAAATTCTCCTCAAAGGAAGATCTCGTACCCGGATTGTGACTTAGACTATGACGAAGCCAATCTTGAGTGTAAATTATTGCTTCAGCCATTTTAGGTGTCATTGAAGATTGAAAAAAATTAATTATTGAAGCAAATTAGTGTTTTGATAACTTTTATATATAAATAAAAAACATGTATATTACGTGTACAAATCAGTTTTTGGTTCAGTTCGGTTAACCGATCACAGTTATCCAAACCGAACCGAAAATCAAAATTTTAGAAAAATATAAATCAAAAACCGAACCAAATATTTGATTTCAGTTTCAATCCAAACCAAATTTTTGATTTTGGTCGGTTCGGCTCGGTTAACCGAACTTTGTGCACCCCTACCACTTAAGGTTCAAATGAATACATTTAAAAACCAAAAGGACTCGACCCGACACAAACTGAAAAACACAGGACCCATTTCGCAATTTCGCTGGAATAAGACCGAATGCCAAATTCAAATCTGGAATTTTGGGGATGAATGTTGTGTTTAATAATGAGATGCCCTAATACTTCGGAGTAAAATATCCCAAATTTTCAGCCTTTTCTCTTTGAATGGTCTGAAGAATTTCTCTGGTTTCTGTTGTCATCTTCACCCGTTAGCTAGGATTTTTGCTCTCCGAGGTACGACGTGTCGTATGATTTTTGTTTAAAGACATTTTTTCTTCTCTTCCCAATTTTTTTGATATATGAATCGGAGTAGATTATTGGTTGATTATATACTATGGAATACTTTTGTGGAGTGATATTTCTGCAAAATGTTGTGATTTTGTGATTTTTATTTTTATTTTTGAATTTCACACCTTTGTTGCTCTGAACAATTTGGATTTAGCTGAACAACTGAAGATTGATGTTGGTGTGCATTATTATGACCAGGTTAAGGGAAAAATGGCTTCAAATTCTAAAGGGCACTTGGATTCTTCAAATGGGTTTGGCTTGGAAAATCAATCCGTGGCCGTGTTTTCAAAAGAAGATGACAAGAAGGTTGAGAATATTCACATAATTTAATTGTAATCGATGTTTTTGTCCGAGCGAGTATACGTATGTGCTCTTCTGAGTCTGTTGTGCTATTATCTTTGCTAGGTAGCTAGAGAAACGAACCAACATGTTCAAGGGCCATTCAATTCTTCAAACGAACTTCCAATGCAAAATCAATCCACGGTTGAGTATTCTGATCTTGAAGTTGGTAATGAGCCGACCTGGGAGATTGCTTCTTCAGATGGGATAGTTGTCGATAAGAATCCATTTCAAGAACAAAATGCTGGAGGCATACATGTTATGCTAGGGCAGGCTTTCCCAAACGAGAATGGTGATAATTACGGTAGTTGTGATTCACCGGGCGAGATTTTGAGATACATTGATCAGGTGCTCATGGAAGAGGACTTGGAGGGACTGACAAATATGCTTCAGGAGTCTTCAGATTTCAAAGCAAAAGTGAAATCATTTTATGAGGTACTTGGCCAAAGGTACCCACCTTCTCCGCAGCAAGCCTCAGCTCCTCACAACCAATGTGACGTTATTGAACTGTCGTATCAAAATCTGAAAAAAGTTAGAAATACGACGGGGAATAATGTAGAGAATAATTCACGCCCCGGAGCAAAGGGAAAGAAAAATAACCGCCAAGCTGAGGCAGACGATTGCGAAGAAGATACAACTACAAAACTGCCCTCAGTTCACATTTCACAATGAGTTCAATAACGGCCTCACGGATGAATGTGACGATTCATGTATTTATACATGTGGCAGCATTGAGAAAAATCTTTTGGATTACATGACAGACCTAAAAATCTCGACAAGTAAGAGGATGGAAAAATATGGGGTCAAGGGTCGCCCCTTTCGTAAGAAACAGAAGAAGAAGGAAGAAGTGATCGAATTTACCGATCTCTTGATCACGTGCGCCCAATCCATTTCTTTGGGTGACCATCGATCCTCGAAAGAATTGCTGGGGAAGATCAGAAAGCATTCGTTCCCTTACGGCGACGGTAATCAAAGGATGGCCTACTATTTCGCCAATGGGCTGGAGGCCTGTATGAACGGGACCGGCAGCCAAATATACAAATCCCTCGTCAACGAAAGAAAGGACCCTTCTGACTACCTGAGAGCCTTCTTCATGTCCCTCATATCCTCTTCGCTCATCAATATTCCGAATCTCGTTTTGAACCAGCTGATCATGGTTAAATCCAAAAAAGCATCAAGGGTCCACATTATAGAATTCGGCACGTTTTACGGCTTCTAGTGGCCTGCTTTAATCCGGCGCTTGTCCAAAAGGGAGGGAGGGCCCCCGAAGCTCAAGATTACTGGGGTTGACTTCCCGCAGTCGGGCCCTTGGCCCGCCGAGCAGGCTGAGGAGACGGGCCGCCGTCTGGCCATGTATGCTGAGATGTTCAGTGTGCCGTTTGAGTATAATGTGATATCACAGTCTTGGGGATCCGTGAGACTTGAGGATCTCAAGATGGAGGAGGGCGAATTCGTGTTTGTCAAATGTGTGTACATGTCTAAGAATTTGCCAACCGAGGAAGTTGAGGGGAAAAGCCCGAGAAGTATGTTCCTCGACCTGGTCAAGAGAATCAATCCGGATATCTTCTTGCATGGGGTACTCAATGGGGCCTATAGTGATCCATTTTTCTTGACTCGGTTTCGTGATGTGCTGTATCATTACTCGACTTTGTTTAATCTGATGGAAATGACATTTCCGCCCAGGGAGAATAAAGAGAGAATGCTTATGGAGAGGGTGCTTGGGATGGAGGTGTTGAACGTGATAGCCTGCGAGGGCCCAGATAGAGTTGAGCGGCCCGAGACATATAGGCAGTGGCACGTGCGTCATGTAAGGGCAGGTTTTGTTATGGTCCCTTTCTGGAGTGATTTGGCGAGCATGGTAATGGAAAGGGTGAGGAAATATCACCATAAGGAGTTTTTGGTCACTGAGGATGGTCTTTGGCTGTTGCTCGGCTGGAGGGCGCGGACTATCTTTGCAGCTTCCTGTTGGCAGCCCGCTCGAGAAACTTGAGTGAGTGTGTTAATTTTCATAACTCTCCATGAATTTTGAAGTTCATGTCTGTGTACGTAGGTATGTTTAGGAATTAGGATTATTGAAATATTATGTTATAATATATAATATAATAATATATATTAATATCAATATATATGAATAATTAAAAATATATTCGGTCAGTTCGGTTATTCGGACATTTGAATGCCGAAAACCGAAACCGACTAAAATAATTGAACAATTATACGTTGAAATCGAACACCGACTGAGTCGGATAAAAACCAAACCGAAATTTCCGGTTCGGTCGGTTGTTTGGTTTTAGTCGAATTATGCACACCCATACTCATTAGTAATCAAAATTAATTTGGCGTAAGCCGAAAAATGAACTACGTCATGGTGTCGATTTTTTCGTGTTTCAATGGTGATTTTGAGTGAGGATAGAAGGTATATGATACAACTGATTGAGCCGCTTATACAGAGTATAATTTTTTTTGTAGATGAAGACCAATTGCGAGGGCGAGCCAGAAAAATTGAGGACACCCAATATCGAATATTCAAATCGCTAATTTTTAAACCGAAGTAAGATCACTTCACTACGGCTAATTTTTAGTCCATTTATTATTCAAAAGTAGTATATAAGGCAATCTTTTTCGACATTAATAATCATACTGAATTTTTTAATTGAAATTCAAATTTCAATAGTCTTATTATGTACATTTAATTTCAACAATTAATTGTTATTTTTTATTCGAATTAAATGTAGCCAACTAAATAAAAGAAATGTGGTTTCATAATAATATCAAAGTAGATTCCGTTGCAAAAACTCATAATCATGGCACCAATTTAAATCCGTTGCAAAAACTCATAACCATGGCACCAATTTAAATCCTTTGCAAAATTGTGTTACTAATACCGTAATTATGGCACCAATACTAATCCGTTGCAAAAATATATTACTAAAGCACTAAATTCTAGTAGTGATGCCGATAGCCGAGATCTGCCAACCCCGAAGCCACCAACCAACATCCCCGACGGAGACATCGGCCAACCCCAGGAGCGACGAAGAGCCAAGGTTGTCGAGCACCAAACTCCCAACCGAACACATCGCCACCACCAGCAAATCTGGCCAAGGGTTCCTGGATCTAAAAACCCCAAATCAGGAGTCCTCCCTCAACACCAAGGAGACGAAAAAGCAAGGATAGAAAAGGAACTAACCTCAGCCCGGACCACCGGCTGGTGCCTAGCCGGAAAGGATCCCCCAGCCCACCCAACCCCTCGACGGCACCACTCACAGACCGACAAATTTGGATTTTTGCTGGGAAGGGAGCGGTTTTTTTTTTTTTTTTTT